TGACATTGCCGCTTGCCAAGGTGATATCCCCTCCGGTAACGCTGACGCCCGCAGCGGCCGTGGCAAGCCCCGTCATCGTGCTGATGCCACCGACGGAAAGGTCGCCGGCCGTCAAGATGACATCGCCGCTTGCCAAGGTGACATCTCCGCCGGTCACGCTGACGCCCGCAGCAGCCGTGAGCAAGGCCGTGTTGACCGTGAGACCGTTGGACGCTGTGACGAGCCCCGTCATCGTGCTGACACCACCCACGGAGAGATCGCCGGCCGTCAAGATCACATCGCCGGTGACCAAGGTGACATCCCCGCCGGTCACGCTGACGCCCGCAGCAGCCATGGCAAGCCCCGTCATCGTGCTCACACCACCCACGGAGAGATCGCCGGCCGTCAAGATGACATCGCCGCTTGCCAAGGTGACATCCCCGCCGGTCACACTGACGCCCGCAGCAGCCGTGGCAAGCCCCGTCATCGTGCTGACGCCACCCACGGAGAGATCGCCGCCCGTCAAGATGACATCCCCGCTAGCCAAGGTGACATCCCCGCCGGTCACGCTCACGCCCGCAGCAGCCGTGAGCAAGGCCGTGTTGACCGTGAGACCGTTGGACGCTGTGACGAGCCCCGTCATCGTGCTAACACCACCCACGGAGAGATCGCCGGCTGTCAAGATCACATCGCCGCTTGCCAAGGTGACATCCCCTCCGGTCACGCTGACGCCCGCCGCAGCCGTGAGTAATACCGTGTTCACCGTGAGACCGTTGGACGCCGTGACGAGCCCCGTCATCGTGCTAACACCACCGACGGAGAGGTCGCCGGCCGTCAAGATCACATCGCCGCTTGCCAAGGTGACATCTCCGCCGGTCACGCTGACTCCCGCAGCAGCCGTGAGCAAGGCCGTGTTGACCGTGAGACCGTTGGACGCTATGACGAGCCCCGTCATCGTGCTGACGCCACCCACGGAGAGATCGCCGGCCGTTATGATGACATCGCCGCTTGCCACGGTGACATCCCCGCCGGTCACGCTGACGCCCGCAGCCGCCGTGAGCAAGGCCGTGTTGACCGTGAGACCGTTGGACGCTGTGACGAGCCCCGCCATCGTGCTGACGCCA